ATCCTTTGCTACCTAACATCTTCTTCAGCTTAGATGCTTTTCAAGCTCACCACATCCCACTGTTATCCAGTCTAGTTAGGGTCTAGTTACCCATCTATCAAGTCCTCACTCATTCTCATTCCCATTGATCCCATTTGGTCAGAGATGCTCCTGAACAACAAACACAGATGTCTCTCATGTGGCAGTAGTCAGTTTAATGTTTCCCTGCTGGATTTTAGGCACAGACCAAATATCTCATAACCGGCTGTTCTTGTATAAGCCTCTTAACTATATTCAAATGCATGGCTAATACTGTGTATAACTTACCCTACTCATGGAATTCCATTGACACAGAGTGCTCTAAACTCATTTAGCCTAAGGATTTCTAATTCTGCAGCTTCTTTCAATTAAGTGTCCTTCAAGCTGAAGGCCACAGAACGAAAGATGTTTTAAGCTTCAAAAGTGGATTTCCTAAGTGGCCATCTCCCACTGCATCACACTCACTCTGTTGGTTAGCTATTCAGCCTTTGTGTCCATGAGTGCTTCATTTTAATCTCATGATAATTTTGAAAACTGAGCTACACACCTTTGGTTTTGACCATTTTTTTGGACAGAACATTGCTTGCTCCAATCTGCAATAAACAGTTGCAAATCTTTTAGAAATGCAATCTAAAAAATAGTAAATACCCATTGGTACCATGTAAGGCAGATAGTTCATAAGAGAATTCCTGCACCATGAGCTGTAATTGATGCAATTCAAATATCAATGGAGTTTCTATGGCTACTTGTTACTGTCATTTTCAGATAGAAAAGCAGACAGTAACAATTTTGGGGAGGATTAGAATTCAATCCTTGTAGCATGTAAACCAAATGAGTGTGAATGCAACTTGTTTCAGATTGATAAATTCAAAGATGCATTTCAAATGCACACACGATAATACATTAAGCCCCTAGTAATAATAAAAAAAATATTAAGCTGAAGATGTAAAGAAAAGTTGGATTGAGAAGTCAGTTATCCAAACCCCTAATTCTAACCCCTCATAAAATTTGCTGTGAGTTGTGCTTAACCCTTATATTACTTCATACTGTATGTACAGTAATCATATTACTTAGTACAGAAACATCCCCAATCAATGTCTAAACCAATCAATGGTTCCAGTGTAAATAAATAAACTAGTGCAGGTTGATGATGCCAAAGCAGGATGATTAGAAAACACTATAGAAGCAGCAAAAGAAATTCAAAAAGATTCAGATAAAATTCAAGATGAGGCAAACACCTGGTATGTGACAAAAACTTAGCTTGAAGATGCTACTTTTTAAAACTGACTGCATAATTAATCGCTCATTTTGTAATATTGGGTAAAATGTTGGTCAATACATTTAAAAGAAATACATTACCTCTCAGGAATAAAAACTAAGGAGAACAACCAGATGCAGTATATCACTAAATGAAGTGTCTAGATAGAAGGCCTTAAAGAACTTGAACTTTAGTCTTGATTTGGAAAATACTACATGGAGACTAAAGTTCATATTCTCAAGATATTCAAGCACAGTGACATCAAATCAAAGAACTTCTTTGAAATCAACAATGAAATGAAAACATCATTGGGAGCCATGTGAAATTGTATTTAAAAATGACAAAAGGGCATCTTTTACTCAAAGGGTTGTGGACATATAGAACAAGCTACTTTCCATAGCCATGTCATTGAAGTAGATGTCCTGACTCAGAAGTAAAGAAGTGATTCTTTAATCACTGTTACCAAAAAAACTAGATGGGTTAAATGAAATCGTTTCATTTGTAATCTTTATGTTCCTACACTTAACATCATGGGTAGTACTGCAGTATTACAAGGGGTTACTTAGAGTAGGCCGAACTGTGCTTAAAGTGCTTCAGGTATAAATAGTATTTCACCAGGTGTTTCCACATTTTGAGGTATCCCTACCAAATGTAATTAACAGATGTTTTTTTTATACCATTTCTCTTGAGAGTGCTAGAAAACCTGTCATGAAATCTGTTCACATAGGTTAAAATTCAATAGATTTAGTCTCACTCTGTCAGAACAGCCTATTGCACAGGCATTCACATAAGGAGTTTTATTACCATTACTAATGTGCCAAAATCTGTGGCTATATGAAAATTGATCATGTTTGCTTGGAAGACATTGGAATTCTCAAAAGCATTACTTGTTTGAATAAAATACATTTAAAAGTTGAACAAGGCTTATATTATACATGTTTCTGTGTTGCAGAACATTCTTCTCTAAATAATTACATACTGGTAGGTACATCTGTCTCCACAGAATCATCTGGTTTCATTCCTAATCCTCCCAATCCTTTAATTTAAGTATGGTACAGTATTGGCCAAATTGAACAAATTAATAACTGCTCCAAGATATCAACCAATTGATTTATAAATAGCGAGTGCTTTTATATAGAGGCACAGTATGTATTAATTTTAGGCATCTGGTACAGTCGATTTGTAAAATCACAATAAAAGAAATGCAGTATCACCGTAACCTTATATGATCCTTCCTTATTTTAGGAAAGCTAAATACTTTACCAAGAACACCTCTAGCTAAATGCCACATTAGTTCTTAAATGTCTTGTGCTAGACCACAAAGTCAATATGACTCAAATTCAAAATATAAAAACCAAAACATTCCTCATATGATACTTATAAGCCTTTTTTACATTCTCTACACTGATCATTGTTTATTGTAAATGCTCTGTAGTGGTTCTGGGGAATGAAAACAATGCAGGAAATATTTAATTGAATCTTACAAATCAGATATAAATTGAATTTTTAGCAGTGCATGCAGTATTTCAGTTTCCTATTCACATTGCAGGAGGGTGACCTCTGTGTGAAGGCTTTATTTTCCCCAACATGAAAGAACCCCTAAACAAAAACTTAAATTGTAAGGAAAACCAGGATGTTTTGAACACTGTACTGTGTTGACCTTGACTCCATTGAAACATTATTGAATTTACTTGTTTGGAGAGTAACAACACAAGTCCAGCAATAACAAGAAATATCAGAAAATTGAAGGATTTGACTGAGTGGTCAAAAAATGATACTGTGATACGCCTATAGCTTGGTTGAAAAACACTGGTCTCTAATGGACAGAATTGAAAGTTTTAAAAGTTTCTCAATATTTCCATTAGTCAATTTCTTACCACAGCTTTCAGTTCAAGGTTGAGCTGGAGCTTATTCTGGCAAGGCAGGATATACCCTGGATGGGACACCAGTCCATCACAGGGCATACACACTCAAATGCCGAGAATTTTACCTAGTAGCCAATTAACCTACCAGCATGTTTCGGAGAACCGGAAACCCATCTGCGCATGAGAACATACAAACGCCACAGAACTAACACCCCATGTCCAGAATTGAACTCAGGACCCCAGCACTACAAGGCAGCTATGTTACCCACCGCACCACCATGCTCTCCTTCTAAGTGTTTAATTTGTCCAGTTAATTAATAAACTTGAAATCGTAGACAGTTTGCATTGTTCCATTATTTTCCTTCATAAGCTAACCAATAATCCTGAGAGGACTATTTTGAAGTACACTGATTCTACTTTTCGTTCACAGAATCTGTACGTTTCTTATGCTTTCAAAAAGAGAACCAGGGTATTTTTCCTTTTTGCCGATAACACAATGCTTTTTTTTTTTTTTAATTGGGGCAAATGTTAATGCAGTTAAGCACCCAGCACCCAGACAAAACCCAGAAGAACACAGGGAGAACACCCAAAATCTATGCAGATAAAACCCCGGGTCCGGAATTGATCTCAGGGCCCCAGAAATGTAAGCAGCAATACTTAACACTGCATCACCATGTTGCCCCTTGAGGAAAAGTGCCATATAGTAATAATTGCTTACACTTATATAGCGCTTTTCTGGACACTCCACTCAAAGCGCGTTACAGGTAATGGGGACTCCCCTCCACCACCCCCAATGTGCAGCATCCACCTTCCATGGAGAAAGCAAATGTGATGGAGCATTGAATACATTAAGTTTAATTTGCTTTCATTTAACTAAACGCAAATGTAGGTGTAATCCTTTAATCCTTTGATGCGTTTGATGTATCAGATTAACATTAGTTGTAGCGTTGGTTGAGCAGTATCCAGATTTGCTATGAAATGAAGTGCTATGAAATTAGGATATTTATCCATGTTAAGTGTACTATGAGATCTTTTATTTACACAACTTACATACAGTACAGTCATTATTTTACTTCTATACTTTTAGGGTATATGAATACTATTTACAGTATATAATCATGCAGTTTGTGCATGTATTTAATACAAGATCATTGAATACATACATTTTCTAAACAATTATTTACGTACACATTGCTAAGAATAATTATATACTTATAAATTCTGGATAATTACATTAACAAGTCATGGGAAACAAAACACACTGGATGAAGTTTCCAAATGAAAATAAAAACTTATTGCAGTAACAGCCCCTTACACCAACTGAACAGAATTGTGTTTCACCTTTAAAAAACTGTTTAGTTTAGTTCTATTACTGGTTTGACAGGCCAGGATGAATGGAAATATTTTACAGATTTGCTATTTGTTGTGCATTTGTGTTTACTATTCATGCATGTTCTGTGTTGTGTGTTAAACTGTGGTTAGCATTCCAATACATATACAGTAGCATAACTTAAGAGATTTGTACAGGAGAGCTGAATAGACACAATACATTAGGAAGATATCAAAACTGTCAACCAGTTTGGGGAGGGCTGTGCTTAACTGTAAGGGACTGTTGGCTTCTTGAATCTTTAGTCAGAGCTTTACTTGTTTTTATAGCTTTTTGCAATATGTGGTGAAGAACTTTCTAGTTCAAGCTTACATTCTTACAGTTGCCTTTATCCAGGTATTGTCCTGGGATATGTACCTTCAAGTCATCATTCATTTATGCCTGGTTAGTTCAAAAGCCTCTTGCAAGAAAAAAAAATCCATTAACATCTTTAAATTATAGTGAAATAAATTAAAACAGTTTAGAAGGCTTAAATGAAAATCACATTTCAAAGATGTAAATGAAGAAGCTTGTGAGATGACTTTTCTCTGTCGCACCGAAACATCTTTTTAACATCTTTTACTCAAGTTTTCTTTCTAACCAGAACACATCATTCATAGAGCTCAGAGGAAGTGTGCACTTGGGTATACCACTACAGAAGTAGTTCAATAAGCTTCTCCTTTGGCATTGCTAGATACCTAGAACACAAATGCAGATTTTCATTTCTGTTGATGTCTGCTTTCTGTCATGCTAGATGGCTTTCTGATTGAATCTTGCATTGCTGAGATGGTCTCTAATAAGAATAAAAATACTTTTTTTCTATTTTGTTTTCAGTCTGCTGCTTTCTCTATCCCTCAAGCTTAAATCCTTTGAAACTACTAGTCCTTTCTGCTGTCACATTTTTCAATATTTTAGTCATCTGTGAATAGAAACACTAATCCTTTCTAAATAAACTAAATAATTTAAGTTAAATTTAGAATTAAACATTTAAAAAGGAAAAATGAAAATACTCAAATTATTTTTTTAAACAGCTAACCCCAAGCAATGGTAACCTTTGTATTCAGGAAACGCATTATTCTTCATATGATTTTCATGTTTGTAATTTTTCATGGCTCACCTCACGCAATTCAAGCCTTCAAGGCAAGTATACAATGAATCCTGTCAAAAGATAACAAGGCATTGTTTTATTAGATGTGGATTGAATTGGATTAAAGAAAGAAAAGGTTATTTTATAATATTGTGAACTGGAGATGAGAATTAATGAAACTCCATAATCAAGTATATAAGCTTTGTTTGCCAAATACTAGACAAAATTAAAGTCTTTCTCCCTGATACAGAGGAAAAAGAGTCCCTAGTGTTCTGCCTAACAGAAACATACAGTAGATGATCCCTAATAAATTCTCTTCCACTAGAATTCATTCTGGGAATAATGCTGTAATGCTTTCACTGAGCAATCTACATATAATAAAAATATTTCACCATTCAACCCAGATATTCCTGGTAATGTCACTGCCAACTGTCCATTACAATTTAAAGTTTCCTTTATAAGACATTACTTACTTGAATTACTTTCACTAGGTTATTATATTTCTTTGCATAGTAACTACAGAGACACTACTTACACTGTACATGATAACTTTTAAAATATTTACTGCACTCCAAATGTCTTGTTAATTCTAAAAGGTAAATCATTCCACAGAATAATGAATATTTAGAGTATTTAGTACTCTAGATCGAGGTTTTTCATGCCCAAGAATTGAACAGCGTGTAACAAGTTCAGTCAAGAATGTTCAAGAGAAGAGTACTTTATGGCTTGTACTGCTAATTTTCCACATAACATGCTAATTTGTTTCGAGAATTGCCATTGGTTTACATTTTAAGTTACTATTAAAGAAACATTATCCAAGTTAAGTTAGCACAGTTTGTCGTGTACCACCATGCAACACTCAGTTTGGCTTATATTTTCTGAAAGTGAGTATCGGGTCTGTCCCTTATCTCTATACAGTTAATTTCCATAAGGAAAATTATCCTTTTTTAAAACATGAAGTAATGTCATTGTACTACTCTACTAATTTGCAAAATTTGCATACTATTACCTTCAGTCCTCATTGTCTTGGTTATCTAATGGATGAATTGGTTCCTAAAACATTATAAAATGTGAATTTTCCAAATGGCATGTTTTGAGAACCTAGTTGACCAAAGGCAGATTTGGTGACAGGTAAATTAGCAGAGGATTAAGTCTGATGTTATACTGTAACCATGACAATAATGGATGACAGAGAGGTAATTCTTAAAGAATTAAAATTTAAACATTTCATTTTGTTAGAGGTAAAACAAAAAACAGCAACAGGAAAGATGACCAGAAGGCGCTGAAATAGATTCATGGAAGCGAGTACAGTTTGTATACACGTAGATCAGTTTTTGTCTGGCAAATCATATTAAAATGCATCCCATTTGCACTTGGAAACAAACCACAGCATGTTAAAAATATCCAAAACAGCCGGAATACTCTTCATGGTAATTCCAATCGTTTGAATGTTGCATTAAAAGCTGTTGTACCATGCATGGACAAAAAAAACGGTTATCTAATGATTTGGTCATATTTCCATGTTGTATAGGCTTAAAAATGGTGGGCTACAATTTTAACATATCAAAGTTCAGTAACTCATTCATCAATTATACCTTTTGTACAGTAAAGCTGTTTATCTCCTCGTTATCTGACAAGGGAAAAAGTTGTGCTACTGAAAAGTAAAAAAAGAAAAGAACAATATTGCGGCTGTTCAGCCTTATTCAGAAGTGAAGAAGAAATTCCATTTTCATTTTATCTTAGCCAGTCTAACCTAATCACAAAATTGCAGTGATATTTGAAAACATCATAATGTTTTTTTTGTTAGGCAGGTGGTGAATTGCAGTTCAGCCTCTTTTTGAAATTTGGAATTGAGAATATGATGTATGATGTATGATGTATGATGTATGATGTATGATGTATGATGTATCTGGATTTTTGTGTGCTATATCATTTGATAGGAGGATTATTTTTAGAGCAATCCTAGCTAGCATCTACCACAAGGCAGGATATGCCCAGGACAGGACACAAGTCCGTCACAGGGCACACATGGACCCAAACATGCATACACTCACATCAGGACCAATTTTCCCAGAACCCAATTAACCAACTAGTGTGTTATTGGACTATGGGAGGAAACCAGAGCATCCAAAGGTAACCCACACATATACAGGGAGAACATACAGTATAAACTCTACATACTGTAGATATACTTATAGGTCTTGAATATAGGAATATATATTGAATATAGGAATTGAATCCAGGGCTCCAGCACAGCAAGGCAGCAATGCTAACCAATGAACCACCATACCATCCAGCTTTAAATACACAATATTTTCACCAACATAGAATCCAGTTATTAAAAGTTGAATTCTATGGCTATGCCTTCAGTACCTTATATTTACATAGAGAAAGCAAGCCTTTGTGGGGATGCCTCTATTGTACACCTATAAGAGCTAACCATTGTTTTACATGTTCTGTGCTCAACAGTGCCCTACAAACGATTTACCACTGAACAGAGAAGCAGAGCATCTATCACTGGTATTACTGCAAACTTGCAGACACCTAAAACTCATAAAAGCAAGGCCCTAGTAGACTAATACTTATCCTACTCTGGTGATGCCAATTAAATGCCGTTGCGTGAGGGTGCCTGGTAACCATAAGCTAATGACATCGCCCAATCTCACAGCAGCAAGGAATTTACTACGCTGTAAATCTGGAATGTATTTATAGACTGAGTAGACAAATTGTGTACTGTATATTTATAAGAAGCATAAAATAACCAGTTCGCAAGGAAAAATTTCCAGTAACTAATATAAATGTAAAAAAACAAAAGATACTGTAATATTCCAAACTAAAGTAAAATGCATGGGTTACATATTAATGTTAATGTTTTTCAAAATTGTGGAGAGTTGGCAACGTTGTGATAAGGACAAACCTTTAAGGTCTAACAGCTGTTAAGAAATAGGTGCTCATAAATAATATTAACATATAGAGTACAAGAAATTGCACAACAGAGCCTGTGAGGTCACAGAAGAATTTAAAGTGGACTATTCCTGAGTAAATGCTTTAAAAGCAACAATAAATATTTAATTTGGAGTTCCATTGAAAGAAAATGGAATTTATTGATCTGCGTGCTTATATTGCCTGAAGTGAACATGTGGTAAGGCTCTAACAAACTAAGCAATATATTACATATTAGTTCCATGAAAGAGAACAATATTTTTCAAAAAATAATTTATGTTACTGCTTTTATTTTTTTCTTAATAAAAGACAGCTACTGTATAGTTGCATTTAAGCATACTAAACTTAATATAACTTCTGTTCGAAACAAAAGTTTTCCAAAATCCCAACCCACAAAAATAAAGTATTCCAACCATGTGTCTTTAGGATGTTACAAGTTACTTGTCAAAGATCTATTTGAGTTTCAGTATCCTGGGAGTCTGTTGATTTGAAATAGAAACCTTTGGGTTAAGGGACAGATGCAGCACATTGAATGGAATGTTTTACTTGGTTAGATAATGTAGATACATTTTATTCTCAAAGTAAAAAACACACAACTTGTTTTTTTTTGTTTAGCTTTCAAACTAAACATGTTACTTAGAGCACCCTATGTGCATTTTGTGGTCAATTAGTTGCAGTATGTGACACCTTCTAAAATTACAGTTAGTCACAGAAGTGGTAAAAGGAAATTATTAAAATAAATTATAGTGTTTTTTTTCCCTGTGCGAGAGCGTGGGAATGCTGACATGCATATTAATGTCTTTACTGCTATGTAACGCTCTTTGTCCCAGCTGTCATGTTATAAACACTTGATCTACACCTCCATATATTTCTCATATTGCTTTCAAAAGGCTTCCTGTTGAATTAAGTGAAGCTTTATTTCAATAGTTATTCAAAACAAAATGATGTGTGAGTGTTTATATATACATATATACACACTGAAATGCTTTAGAAATTCACAATCCATATACAGAAACTCACCCAGTGTTAATTCAAAAAGCAGAGTTGAAGTAACACTGCATGATTTGCTCTGTACCTTCTCACCTATGCTGATTAATTTATGCTTATTTTATAGCCATACTAACTGATTAGTCTGTTTGAGTATGACATTATAAGAGGCTATAATATGGCCAAAACACCCAGGTTTAGTATTTTAAATATTGTCACATGGCATAGCTTAATGAAAGAAGGTACTTTGGATTGTTGCTCAAGGAATATTGTAATGCCACATTCCAATGGCAATCGGATTAGATTACATTCCTCTACCTTCAGTATACTGTATTTACACATTAGCACTTGTGATTAATCCAGATCTAAACATTCACACTGAATTAAAGGAACATCATTCTGGTCCCTAGGTTAAGTCTCTCCTGTTTATACCATGCTATTTAAATGCTTTAAGTTGCTAGACAAAGTTACCATCAATCACTCATGGCGAAGTCTCTACTGAATGTACTATATCCCATTTAAGAGATTTCTAGATTGTTTAATTTAGGATAATGTAACACAAATGACAGGGGGTAACATTTGTCTTAGAGAAAATGTTTGATGATAGAAAGGTATTACCAGGATTCCTGAATAAAATGCTCAGAGTGCAGGATTAGCCTCATAATCCAGATGACAATACTTTGAAAATAGCCTGTATTATTCACTGAATATTAGTGTTGAAGTCCGTTTCCTTGAATGAATATTACCATTTTAATTGGAGACTTATAATTTAAATTTAGAATGTATCAACATGTTAAATTCAATAATGCTGCATCATGTTGTTGCAGAATATTGTTTCCAAATGCATTCTAAATTCTTCAAAACAAGAAACCAAGATTTTAATTTACATCATACACAGAGACACAGTGATACTTAAATTATGGGGCAAAACAATGTTCAACATACTAGAAGAATTGAACTGTTCACTTTCTGATGTAACTCCTACCCCCTTACTACTACTCTGTAACTATCCTTTTGTTCCCATTAACGTCTGAATATTTTAAATTTCTCTCTCGCATCTTTTCAATGTGTAGAAGTTCTTAAGTGATTTGTATGCTTATACTTGTTTCATGATGAAATAATGGAGATACAATAAGTCACATATCAAAGGATGTACAGTACGTGTACAGTTATTAACTCACCATCTATCCAGTAGTTGCAGTACCTTTCTGGTAATCCACTTAGTACCCCAAGAATTTCCCTCTTTTATGGAGGACTGCAAGAGCAAGCAGATCATACAGAGGATGAATACTCAAAACAGGAAGAATCCCTGGATGAGTTTGATTTTGTTTTTTGTTGCAATATACAGGATAATTAAACAATCAAACATCTGTAAAGATGTGTAAAAAAGATTCTTTAAAGATACTCACCTTTTAAGATGTGAATACAGTGCATTATTTTATATGTTACTGAGGTTACCTTATCCATGAAAACAGTGAAATGCTGTCCACAAGTATTGGATATCTACCATTAAATGGAAGCATTGTCAATGCTGGAAGCATTTGTTTTTCTTGGGTGATTTTTTTTAGTTAATTTATACTTATGACTCATAGGTCTTCAGCTGAGCCCCCAATAAGTCTTTTTAGATGTGAGGTCATTTAGACCCCCCTTTCAGCTACTTTATATACAGTAGTTACTGAAGCTGAAGCTGAGGACTTCAGCTTCAGATTTATATTTTTTCAATTGAAAGCAAAGCCTTGGAAGAGTAGCCTGAAAGAAATGCCACAAACCCTTACACCATTACAGAAGAACATAAAAGAGGCAATATCTTCTATCTAGCCCATTTGGTAGTTAGAACCTAATTGATCTGAAGACTTTCCTCAGTTATTGCTTGAAAGAAGCAAGGATATCAGGTTCAGCAATATGGCCTTTGTATAAAATAATGCCTTGTTTTTATTTCAGATTTGAATGCACTCCCACATAATTTCCACTTCAGGTTCATGTTTCACTATTGATACTGTTCACCAAGTAGAGGATTTTGATTTCTTGGTTCAGAATATGCGATATTCAAATATCAAATGGATCACACCACTGAACGTCTTTTGCAATTCAAGTGAATACATTAAAAATAAACTAAATTATCCTTAAAAAATCATTTGTTCATTTTTTAACAATAAGAAGGTTACAAAAAAAATCAGTTCACTACTTGAATTTAGTGTCTTCTCCTCACTAATAGAAATAAGCCTGTGAGAAAAGACAGCGCCATAGACTGTGGAGGAAAGAGTGTTACAGAGAGCTCTAGAGAAAGTGCCAGAGAGGGAAAAGGAGATAGAAGAAGGGGACAGGGCCCAGAATAAATGACAGAGAGTTGTGTGTGCATAGGGCAGATGGCCTATGAGATACACTAGGGAACGCTTAAGAGAAAGCCATAAGTAAAAGACAGGCCAGTCAGGAGAAAGGGGAAATGCCAGTCTCTGTGTGTTAAAGAGGAATAATATGTGAAGTAAGAGACTCCACATGAGATGAAAGTACTGTCTGTGAACAAAGTGAAAGTTGTGAGTGAAAGACAGATCGATCAGACAACAGGGGAAATGCAGACAGCTACGTTTTAAGAGGAGCTATAGAGTGAGGGAATCGAGATGAGGTTAAAGGGCCGCCTGCCAAAGAGATTCTGCAGTGCTGGAACACCGGTGTGTTAGAGAAGCTGCAGTGTGAAAGGGACTTCCTGTGCTGTTCTGAAGTCTGAGAGGAGCCAGATTCAGAGTGAAAAGACTGTGTGAGTAACCACCACAGAACTTAATAAAGAATTGCTTGCTTTGTGGGAATGCCTGTAAGCAGGTACCCGCCCCACTTTTATGCCCCTGGCAGCATCACACTACCAAAATAGTTGACCACTGTCCCCATAAAGTTAAGCAGAATTTCAGGAGGTCAAATTCCAGTCTTGTCCTTTTTTTACATAAAATCTTATGTCCTGAGCACATACTTTGTACATCTTTTCTACTACCCCTCCCACCCCTTTTTCACTCTTGCAGCAGTAAGCCTCATTGTTAGTCAGTTTACCATTCCACCAGCCAGGTGAGTTATACCAAAACAATTTTCAATCCAGTTTCATCTCTACATATCATAGCAAAGATTAGGATTTGACTAAACTGCTGAAAAACATTTTAAGCATCATTACATTAGTGGAAAAATCTTAACTGTAACACAGAGGATATGAGCAAAACTAAGAGTCATGAGGTGAGGTTTATCTGATACAATTTGAATTCACTGGGAATAACGACACTCAAGAATAAAGTGTGCTGAAAGGATTATGGAGTGCTTAATGAAAATTTGACTTAACCCACTTGGCTGAGGGCTGATCTCCTGGCCATAGGATGAGGAGGCCGGGACCCCCATGCAGAGTGAGGAGTGAGCAAGGGGTAGCTACTTAGGTGGAGATGGCGTGGAGGTAGGATGCAAAAAACATAAGTGACAGAATGAAGGGAATCACATACAGTATTTATAGTTTTTTTATGTGAGGAAATTACATCAGGGGTGATTGTTAGTTACTGACAGCTGAGTCTAATTGAACTTGGCTGTTGAAATCCCTCCCGAACTTTCATTACAAATTCCAATTAATTTGAATGCGTACTGAATTGAAAGCCGGGAATCCATCAGACACCATTTACCCGTGGCTTCCAGTTTCCCCATACAGACACATTTGTGCTGCACAAGTTTATGTTGCAAATATGTATTTTGTGCAACCAATGTGTTAGACATGGCTAGCTGACATTGATATATTTTGTTGTAAAAGATAAGGCTTACGGGTCCTGGCTACTAGTCAAAATACACCTCTTCTGTTTCTTTTAAGTTTCACTCTGGGTTCCATCTGCACTTCCACCATGTCCCCATTCCTGGACATTGTCACCTCAGGCCTGACTGTCAACCCTAGTACCCATGATTGTCTAGGCCAAAACACTCCTATGCTGCAATTTCATGTCCGCAATTATCTGCATCTATGGGAGGTACAGTACTGTAATAGTGGATATGTTATTCTTTACATTCCTTTAGTATATACATGAATCTTTTAATATTGTGTGTTAGTTCAATACAGTTTGTTGAAGCCTTGGATGGATTTAACTTTATTTCCTGGACTTTAAATTCCAACCCTTAAATGTCATTGTCTTCTAATAATTTGGCTACAGAATTAAATCCAAAAGTAGTGTATACCATTACTTTAAGACTAATGAAATAAAATAGTAATGTCTCACACAAATCAGAAACCACTAATTATTAATAGTATATAATCACAAATTACACTTCTAGTTGTATAGTACAGTATGTAATAACAGTTGAACTTTAATAGTAAGAAAGATGTTATTCCATTCAACACTGAAAACAGAGGCATAGGACCAGATATTTGAAAAGATAAATACTGTAAGGATACTGAAGTAGTGCACGTAATGAAATATTTAGCTAATCGGAGGTGGTAATAGAATGAAAATGGTAAATAACTGTATAGCATACCTACAGTACTATAATAACAAATGAGAATTTTTAACATTGTAGGACTTTGTTATGGTGTTTTGATCCTAAATAAACATTTCAATATGAGGTAAATATAGTAGTTACAGCCACTCACTACCATACTGTTGCTAAAAGTAGAAAGAATAAATAATAGAGATGACATTTACATATATTACCTCCTTGAAAGTCTCCTTCATTCCTAATTCTATGAATAGGTTAATTGTATTCCATCAAGAATGTAGAATTTTTATTTGTCTAACAAAAGTTAATTTGAATGATACAAGGTTAAAGGTGCAATAGTTAAAGTGCTTTTGACTGCAACTGCACATGCTTGAGGATATTATAGCTAAGACAGCTACATAATAAATCAATAGATTATTTTGAAAAGAATCTACTTAGTATCTTACCTTGGTTATTATTTTCAGCATGTAGGGAGAGCACAAAAGAAAAAAAAGAAAAATAGAAAAATCAAGTGTGAACTTTTTTACAACTTATTTAGAGCTTCATTCAGTTAAATACTTTAAAAGAGCATGGAAGAGCACCCCAAAGCCACCATACCACAGTGTACAAAAAAACAGTTGAGTGTGTTGAAACAGAAACACCCTCCTTGCAAACTCTAAAAACTGTACCAGTCATGTGATGCCCTGACAAGCTCCAATGCACCTGCACCAAATTCCATTCCACATTCCACATGTGGAAGGAGCTCATCAAGATCATCTCAAACGATATCAGGCCGGGCTTATCAACCTCATTAAGGGAGCCTCAATCATTATTTAAGCCCTGAGGAGTCAATCCTCGGGGCTCAGACATTGAGTTGCAAGAGCGTGAGTAGTTGTCCCCCCCAGGACTGTCCCTGTCCCTGTCCCTATTTTCCTTATCACTCCATTAATTATCCATTAAACCCATAAAACCTTCACCTCTGAACTGACTCTGACAATAATTAATTCGCCACGCCCTATTTTCCATCCATGGGTGTGGCCTAACAAATAGAATGCCTATGTAATGCTTTCCACAGCCTAATCAACCTAAAATTGCAAATACACTACTTTTTACCCCAGATTTAAGTAATGATACAAAAAGATTTGGCTAATAAAACACCGATCTAAAACAAAATTATCCTGTAAGATTTATGATTTTTCATCATGGCCATTGATGGCTCTATTTATGGTACATAAAAATAGGCACATAAAAATATAGAATTGATCATTACATTTTAAAAAACAAGTCACTTAAAGTCAAGAAAGCGGTGGCATAAGTGATTTAATAAATACCTTAAGGGAGACAAACAGGAAAAAGAAAACATTTTATAGAAAAGACAACAGGATTTCATTCCAGAGATTTCAAAAAGGTATCTGGAAGGTTGAGAGAATAAATATTGTTCCGAAGCCTAAAACTAATATAAGAAAGAACTTTGCAGTATTACAACAGCGAAACGACACTAGAATGATTCTAAGATGACAATTCAAAAGACAAATGAGTTAAATTATTTTTTTAATCCACCAATTTAAAAATTAATGACATGCCTCAGGTAAAAGAAGTATGCGGTTGAGTATTGAACTGTCTTACTATATTGAAAGCCAAAGAGCTACAAGGACAAGGAGTCCTAAGAACAAATGGACCTTATAGTAATTTTCCAGTTACACTCAAAGAAATGAGAGGTGTTATTCATTGACCAATAACCTGACTCTTTCAATAGGCTCTGTACTGATACTGTGGCAACTTTGACAATGTTACTGGCATAGACATTTCCCGAACACGTTTCCTCTGTCA